AGATTTCGAACATAACCTTAACTTTTTCCAAATATTTTTCTTAAAAAAGATCATACAAATGATTTTTCTAAAAAGCTGGTAGAGTAAAAAACATATATTGTTTTTGAATGCTTGAATCATGATACAATATTAAACCGCACTCAAAAATAAGAGGATCATACCGAATCAAGTACCAGGTATTGTTTTTTGAAACTTAAAAAACTCAGAAACTCAAAGAATTAAACAAAACAAATGCATAAGAGTGACATGATCAAAACCAAAACTTACCGGATGTTTTTTACCATTTATATGATGATTTAAAAATCCGGCCAACTCAAAAATTCAGAAGACCATTTTAAAAGAAATACCAATCAACACTCGATTGGAAGTCAAAAAAGAAAAAAACACCACCAATGGCTGAGTTGGACAAAACATTGAAATAGAAAAAAAAACAATTGACTGCAAACTCTATAAATAATGAAAATCATGAAAAGACAAAATCCCTGCACAGCTTTCTCTCAAAACAGCAAAACATCACTGAAAAAGTGTAAAAGGAAAATTTATTTTAATTTTATTGTCATCCGTTGCATAACAGAACTCCGTTGCATATTCTATTTGTATTCTGGTTGTATTCCGTTGCATATTCGGATACATTTCGTTGCATAACAACAGAAATTAACAAACTATTGAGTTTTTTGTGAAAACGGTTTACTGCAAGCGACGCTTGTTTATACAAGAAAGAAATTGATGGTGTTTCTTTCAAAAAAATTTAAAAAGGAGACATATCATGGCGAAGATTGTAAGAAATGAAAAGGGAATGAATCGCAGCAGAGCTTTCGTGGAAAACCTGAAAAATCACAAAAATGAAACTAAATATGAAATCAGTGCAACGCACTAGAAAAGAGTAGAACGGATGTAACCGGTTACTACTTTTATTCAAATTACATAATTTAAAAAAATCAAACCACTGTATAGCGATTCAGTGGTAATTTTTTTTTCACCAACATAAAAACAATCAATGACATTTGGTTCTCAATCCTAAGTCATTCAGCATGAGACAAATTGAGTCAGTCATTTAGGAAAATTAGATTTTTGACGAAAAAAAAACAAATTAATTGGAAACAAAAAAATAAATAGTTAAAAATCTTTTTGAACGCTTTTAAGAGAAGGCTGCTAGAAGGCTGCTAGTGACATTGCACATCCTTCCGTGGTCGTGCGCTGTTATCCAAAGAAAATCGAAACGGTAAAACTAATTATTTCCATGCCAAAAAACTTCGCCGAATTAAACTTGATCCGAAAACTCGGTTGTCGTAGGGCCTTGTAGCCAGTTCATTTAACTTTTTTGGACTTGTTCACTTTACGGTTACTGCTTCATCTAACCGTGCCATGTCTCTATAGCCTCGATAACGCCCGCAGAACAAGATGGAGGCTTTTCAGACAGTGGACACCTAACTGAGCCCATGCGGCAGTAACCAATGAACAAGTCCAATAGAGGATTCAGCTTTCAAAACCTATAGTAGTATAAGTAGAACATGGAGTATCAAATGGAGTTGAGTATCGAAAAAGGATCACAAAGCATCCAAATAAATGCTCAAAATAAACCAGATTTAAGTTTTAAAAAATGATATTTTAAACTTGAAATGAAACATCCTTGCAAAGTATCAGTTATAAACATGCATAATTAAATAAAAACAATGCGATTACGCACAAAGTCGATGCTTGATGAAAATCCGCAGGCTAGTAGTAATGTTTAAATCTATTTGCCCAGCATAGCTTTTAAAAAATAGACTGTAGCTAAATCATGTAGAGATAGCGTAGCAATCTTAAATATGTCAACATAAGGACTTCTTAAACATGGCTGGAAATGTCTCGCTCAATTAAATAATAGATAGTAAATTCTGCTAAATTGCACACTCTTTCTAATAATTCCTCTGGAGGAACAAAAAATTAGTCAAAAAGGACGACGCATTTTCAAGGTCATACTTTTGGTCATAGTATTTAAGTCAAAGTCCGTATGAGATAAAAACCGTAAAATTTTTTACTACGCTTACGTTATCACACTATTTGATCATAAAAATTCAGTCAAAAATGAAAAAAAGCAATTTTTGTTCCAACAATTGATAAACATTTTACAAAACTTGGATAACTAACAGAAAAAAAAACTGCCTTAATTTCGACTTAGTCCTGTTGCAAACGATTTTTTTGGAATTTGTTATCATAGATGTCGAAGGGTGGATTTTAGTTTGTCAAAAATTTTTGAGTGGAGTGATTTTTTTGATGTTTTCTTTTCATGTGCTCCCAGACACGCCCAAGAGGTAAAAAATTTGTTGTGCCAGAAGGCCAAGAAAAAACATTATATCATTTTGTTTGAAATTTTTGGATCCGCAGTATAAGGAGTTGCATTATTTGTTATAAAAATCTAAACTGCAGCGTTAATAGGAACATCATTTTTTCATAATTTTCAACTGTATTACCAGCAGTTTTACTTGAGTGGACAAAAATTTCACAGAAATGGACTAAACTAAACGCATTTTTAAGTGTTCAATTTACAGAAAACATTTCTAGGGAGTTGAAATAATAATATGGCCTCTAATAAAAGCAAATTATTATGCAACAGCTTACAATTTTCAAGTGCTATTAATTATCAGTTTTCTGTTCAATCCGTAAACTACAACAATTATGTACAAATTTTTCATAATAGTCAATTGTATTACCAGCAGTTTTCATTGATTGGACGAAAATTTTTCTGACGTTGAAACAAAATGTTTGCATCTGCCAACAGCAATTGATCAGAGGAACCTCTGTGAGAGAGCCGGTACTCGTTTTCAAGGATTTAACAGCCTCTTATGCATATGCATAAGAAGAAAAAAAACAGCTAAGTTGTTGCCATGTATTTTTCTAACTTTTTGATGAGAATGAAGAGTTTTATCTATACTGTGTTTAAAAGCATGTGACACGTATCCTGCCATGTTTAGACCTTTTTTTTGCAACAGCTAAGGGCTTAGTGTATCTATGCGTGGTTAAGCTATATCGTATTTTGCAATGCTTGGAACATTTTATTTCCGATTTCCAGTTTCAATCTAGTGTTTGTTCCCCTGCATTAAAGTTTAGCAATTTTAGTGGGATGGTGCCAGATTTCCCCCAGGGGAGTGAATTTGGTCTCCAATTATGAATGCCCAAATCCTTTTAGTGTACCAGATACGTCAATTTTTGTGACTTTTCAAAATTTTCAGAAAACGAAATATACAAAAAATTTTACGAATCCTCAAAAACCACAACCCTGTGTTTGCGTAGTGTCAGAGTACTCTGAAGGATTGCGAATCTTGCCACCAAATTTGACGGCTCAATTCTCGTTGTTTTCGAGATATGACAAGTTTTCTGATTTCTTTGTGTTCTTTTTTTTCAGAAAACTCACTTTACAAATAATATACAATATTCGAAACTCGCAATCTTGTAGTTGGGTGCTGTAAGAGTACTCTCAGGTATTGCAAATCTTGCCTCCAAAAATGACTGCTCAAAATCTTGTAGTTTTTGAGATATGACGTGTTTTATAATTTCGCATAAATTTTTCAGAAAACTTACATTTTAAAAACTCAAAAGATTTGAAATTCTTAATGTTGTAGTCGAGTACTATGAGACTACTCTGAGAAGTTTTAAAACCTAAATCTTGCGTCTAAATGTGACTGCTAAAATGCCATTAGTTTTGAAGATATGACGTTTTTTGTGCTTTCTTAAAAAATCAGAAAACCTAAATTCAATTTTTCTTTAAATTTTGAAATGGCCAGCCTTTGAGTCAGAAGCTGTCAGAGAACTCTCGGGTTTTGCAAATCTCGCCTCCAATTATGACTATTCAAATAGTTTTAGTTTTCGAGATATGACGTTTTTTGAGATTTTTTCATAAAGTTTTCAGCTAAAAAGTTAAATTTAACTTTTTTTTTAATTTTTTTAATTCATATTTGAAGCCTTTTTCCTTGTAATGGGGGGCTGTCTAAGATTTTCAGTGGTTGCAAATGTCGCCTCCAAATTTGACTGCTCAGTTCTCTGTAGTGTTCGAGAAAAGACCTTTTTTGCATTTTTTCAAAAAAAAATTTCAGAAAAATTAAATTTAATATAATTTTTCAAATTTTGAAATTTTCAACCCTTTGGTTAGTTGCTATCAGATCACGCCAGGAGGTTTCAAATCTCGTCCCACGTGTGACTGCTCAAATCTTTATAATTTGCAAGATAGGACGTGTTCATGCTTTTTCAATTTTTTTTTTTCGAAACTTGAATTTAAAAGTTTTCTCAAAATTTGAAGTTCCTAACCCTGTAGTTAGGTACCGTGAGAGTACTCTCAGGAGTTGCATTTTTCGCGTCCAAATGCGAATGCTACGCTTTTAGTATCCAAGATGCGACGTTTTGTTATATCATTTAAAAATTTTTCAAAGAGATAAAAAAAACACAAATTTAATGGTTTTTCAAAAATTGAATTAAAACAACTTATAAGAAAAATCCTAGCGAAATCTGAAATAACGAATCCTGTTATTGCGTGCTGTCAGAGTAAAATTTAGGGTTGTAGATTTAATTAAACAATTTATGCGGCTTTTTATGAGTTCTCAAAAATTCGAAGCACCGGAGGTGCGTTACACGCTGGTTTAATTTATTTGTTCGCAAAAAAACTTCACGCCATCCAGACGTTATGCAGATACAACTAGCATACAACTGGTTTTTTGCAAACCCGGTATATCGTCATTAGTCTTTGAAACCAAATACTGAAGCGTTGATAGAAAATAGCTCAAACTATTTGCTCTTGGGCATTGTGTCCATTAGACAAAATCTACATGAATTATCTGACGAATAAATAATTTTTTTTGCAGAATATAATTTGTGTATCTGACTATGCAGTTCGTTTTTATGACTCTGTTTTTCTTTGGTTTTTATAATTACTTTGATATTGTTACAAACAGAAAGCGACTGAATGTATTTCACTTATAATGACTTTTACACGACTGTTGTAAAATGCGACTGCTGCGTTTTTCTAGGCAGACAAAGCAAAACTGAGCGGTGGATATTCCGAGTTGAACAAAAGCGCCGAGCTGATAGACCGACGACATGGGGAGTCGTTTGAGAAACTGTCTCGGCTGCTCAAAGCCGAAATATCCTCTCGTGAATCACAAGATCAGGTGAGTCATTTGCATATCGAATCGATACCCATAATGTTGTCGAAATTAAATTGCTAAAAGTAAGCCAAAAATGATTGCTTAAACTTTCAGATACAGCCCAGATACTGATTATTTTTGGCGGACTTTTTTGCTAACATTAGAAAAATAAGGAAAAGAACCGGTTTCAGGCTAAGAGAGATGAAGTTCCCTCTCCATATAAAAAACCAGCATTTATTTGCAAATTTGTTGGTTTTTGTTTGTTTTATCATTTTGTTTTTCGTCATTTTTTGCATATCGTGTTCCTTTGATATTTCAGCCAGCGCGGATTTAGGTTTGTTTATCAAAAGGTGAACGAACAGATTTTTTTTTTAATTTGCAAATTTTTGTCGCTGTTTTTTTAGGTCGACCAAATTCGTGATCCTACTTTGAGGAAACGTACTGCGCAATTATCAGGCCAAAAACATCGTTTTTAAGCACTTTTGGAATTTTTGACCGACCCCTCAAAATTAGTATAAATTGGTGCTCAAGGCGCCTGTCGGTTAGTTAAAAATGTAAGTCGTACAATAAGACCAAAAGGGCGCAATTTGGGCGATGAAGTTGTCGAATCCATCGTCACTGAAAGTGAATGGAACGAACTATGGCGTAGCAAAAACAATATCGGTAATTTATGCATATAAATAGCTATTTCATATAAATTTCATATGCATATAAATAGCTATTTCATATAAATTTCATTTACGTTATTTTTATATGTTCATTGCACGCTTAATGCAAAATTTTAAGAGTCGATGAACGTAGTTCAGACTCTTATATAGATCGTGATGAAAATCGTGATAGTTTTTTTTGCTTTGATTTGATTTTTTTTTGAAATTCACTTCATTTCCTTTGAAAGGAAAGAAAACTCCACTATCAAACAGCAAAATTGAAAAAAGTGATAGACTTCTAGAATCGAAAGGGGAACTTAATTTTCAGATTTTCGAGCTTAAAAATTATATATTAACCCAGTTTTCTTAATTTAGGTTAAAAGTTTTACCAACAAAACACCAATTATGATTCGTTCAAAAATCAAAGAGCTGTAAGTTCAAAGAGCTGTACGGGTATACACTTTTTCTTTAAAACTCGAACGTTTGCTTGTGTTTACTTGCGTTCATTACTCTTTTCCGATTGTCAGTTGGTTATGATCAAAAAATGTCGATCATTTATTGTTCAAGAAATTCAAAGAGCTTTAAGGCCATCTTTGAAATTCGAAGGTTAATTTTTTTCTGTTTCCTTGCGTTCATTACTTTTTTTCAACTGTCAGTTGGCTATTTTTAAGATTCACGCCTGAATAAAAACTTTTCTTATGAATCCAATTTCCTCAAATTGGGGTAATCTTATCAAAACAGCCAATGATAAACTGCCCTCTAATTTCAAAAATTTCTCAGGCGATAATTTGTTTGTAGGAAGTTCGAAAGTTGAAGTTTGTTTTCTAAAAAACGAGTCATTTTTTTTGATTCTTTGTATTCATTTGGTCTTTTCCAATTTTCCCTTGGTTATGTTTTGATTTTTAATCATTTTGGTCGAAATATTCAAAGATAACAGCACAAAACCAGCTATCTTTGATATAGTTTGATTTAAAAAATTTTCTTTTTTTATGGCGCATTTTTCTGAATTTTAACATACAATGAACACCAAAACTGCTTACTTCACTTAATTTTTTTCTGAACTGCATGTTTCAAATAAGATAAAACACAAAATGTTTTAGAAAAATTCGCTATCGAAATTTGATTTACTGGGTTTTCAGGCTGTGTCGAACAAAACTGACGAGCTGAATCACAAATTGGGCATTGCGATCAAGACTATGCAGACTAGTATTGGATCCGTGGAGACAAAGTATCGAGATCTGAAGGAATCGGTGAGCTTGAAGTCATTTCACATGTTTGGAAACGACAATCAAAACTTAATGGCTTTAGAGCTTTAATCATTCTGCTTAAAAAACAGTATAAAACATTTTAAGTAGTTTAAGTAATCAAATAACTTCTACCGCATTTGAGATCTTTTTCTACGATCGTTTGAAAAACCAAAAGTATAGGTTTTTTCAAGGTAACTTTCATCTATCTGTTCTGAACATGATTAGGTTCAACTTCTTAACGAGAAAAACCATTACAAATCGTTTCGATATTTAATTTAATCTCTAGATGAAAACAGTCAGTAAACCAGAGAAGGTTTGTGCACATATGTCTCTTATCGTCAATCTACTTCTGTGATCTGTTTTTTTTTTATTTGAATGTAGTTTTCTGGAAGCCTGGAATTTGTTTTGTTTCTGCTTACCCAAACCTATTTTATTTAAAACGTATTATTAGCACGAAAAGAAACATTTTTGAAAACGTTCTTTTTTGCAGTACTCTTGTTTTCTTGGGGCTTCCTTTAAATCTTCGAAAACTACAAATTTGAAGAAATTTGAAAGTGAGCTCAAAAGTCAAATTTAAGAAGATCTTTTTAGTACACGCGTGACGTCGACGATCTCAAAACCGAAGTTCAACTTAGCATAACCCGTTCTCTCGGCGACTTGGATGTACGTGTCGGCACTCTCACCACTCGGCTAAAGGACCTGAAAACGACAACTGACTCTAAACTGACTGAGTTTGAGAACGACCAGGCGGATAAGTCGGCTAGATCGACTCAACAGATGGCTCTGTGGCACGAACAGATTTCGACCAGGGTCACCGATTGTCAAGAAGGCTACTCGAAGTTGAAACCGATGGTCAGTTTTCAGTTATAATCAGTTATTACACTTATCGCCAACATATCTGTATGGACTGGGTATGAGTAGTCGTTGTTAGATTCAAAATATTTGACTTCCACTATACCATTTTAATTAGGTTTAGAATTTTTGTGCTTAGTTGTCGCAGTTTTGGGTGATGGGGTAGTTGATGCGCAAAAATCAGCTAAGGCGATTGTAATGCTCACTGCTTGTGGTTGGGCGCAACAAGATATCACGGCTCAAATCTTATTGAAGCTCTCCTACGAGTTATGAGCAGGAGTTTCTAATAATTTTACTGGTTTTGGAACCTGATAAATAATACTTTCTGAATTTTGTTTTTAGATCACCGAACTGCAGGCGCAGATGGGAAATTTCCGACTGGAGGCCAACTCAAGATTCGACCAAGAGCAACAGAGCAGGTATAGAAAACAAGTTGAAATTAAAATATTTCAGCCCAAAGCTCAAAAAAGACAAAAATGTTCTTCTTTGTATAAAATCTTAAGTGACTTCAAATCATTTTAAGTGTGGTAGCGGTACTAGACTGTTAGCTAAAGCCCTTTATCTATCGACTCTTGTCTATACGGCATTGCGAGATTTCTTCGCAAGTGACAGTTCGTTGCAAGCGACCACGTAGAAGTTGTAAAAATCGTATTTTCGCAGCACGACACAATTTGATTTAAGCGACAATATTAGTATCGGTAAAAGCGTTGATCAAATCAAAAGAAAGTAGATGACAACGTTAAATTAAAGAACAAAATAATTGAAAATCAAAATTGAACGAGAAGTTCTCAAGTGGTTTGAAAATATTTTTGTTGCTATAATGTTTAAGGAGTTCAGCTAATCTGAATTGGCTTTTTTCGTGTCTTGCTACCTTGGCGGAGCTTTCTCCCGCAGTTATTCCCACCAATTTATTTTCCGACAGACTTTTTTTCTCAAGAAGTGGAACAATTTATGAATGGTAGGATGAGCACACTCCAATCCTATCTGGAAAGCCATATGCCATCCCTCAATCAAATCTCGTGTTTTTCTGTTTTCCGTTTTTGGCGTTTTCGTATTTATTCCAGGGTGAATTAGGCAATTACCCAATACCCCTGCGTCCTCGGATTATGGTTCCCAACCCAAGTTGATTCAATTTTGTCGGAAATTTCACAGCGTAAAGCAGCCAGGCCCGGATGTATTGCTTTTCACTTTTGTTTCAACAATTAAGAAGACTAATAGAACACTTCGATCATTGAATATTGCTTGAATTGTAAAAATTTGATTAAAAAAATGCGGGGTATGCTTGAATGTCCCATTTGCGAGCCAGATTGTGCTGTTTTGCGAAGTTTTTAAGCTGATGGTGGCAACAGAAGCTTTACACAACTACTCCACGCATGGTCAGGTGGATTTATATGTTTTAATTTTTGTAGTGGTTCAGATTGAAAGTTTGTCCACCGTAGAAACTTTTCTGTTTTCCTCTCTCGCTCATGACAAACTTTAAAGGCATATTGGTTTCAGTAAGTGTAATGATTTACAAAAGAAAATGGGAACAAGTGAATCGAAACAAAGGTGTTTTACATGCTACTAGAGTTCAATTTCTCTTATCTTTTTTTAAAATTCATTTCAATTTGGTGTTCATTTCAAAACTGGTGCTAAAATGAAAATTTTGATGGCTTCCTGGATTTAGTCCCCCACAACGATCGCAACATTTTTTGGTTAATTTGCATCGTTTAGTAATTTCACCAGTTAACTATCTAGCTGTAAATTGTCGCTTGCAACGAATTGACGCTTGGTCCTTTTGAAGTTGCTGCGAATCGTCGCTTGGGACGAATTGTCGCATCACGGTTTGTACTAATCCATTGAACTGGGTACTAGTCAAAATTACAAACTCGGAGACTAAACCAAGGCGATTGAATGTTGATTGAATGCTGGAATCAAATCAGTTCACTGTGTCAAAGACATTAAATTACTTACCCTCAATTTAAAGGAACACTTTTTTTACTGAGCGGATCTGTAAATCGATGTATACATTATATCGGGGCCTATGAGACCCGTCAACTGTCAGTGAGCGCACTACCAAGTAAGATTGACATTATGGGCGAACCTGGGGGCTTTGAGGACAATTGAAAGCCATAACGACATAAATATAGGCCATAAGAACATACATCAATCGCAATTATTTTCAATACATTTTTTATCTCTGATCCCCATAATACATGCTATTATTCTAGCTCTCTGTCGGAGAGACTTCGTCGTTTGTAAGTAAAGTTGTCTGTTCAGATTTTGTGTGAACTTCTGTGTTTGTGTGTTTATAGCAGCGCTCCTTCGAGGTGGTAAAAGGAATCATTCAGTTCAATTAGTATCAGTTCCGTTCTAGACAAGCAGACAAATTAGAATCCAAATACTACTCAAAAAACTTCATGAAGGGACGATTTTAATAAATTGATAATTATGCATTTCTCTGTAAGAGCTGAAAAGTTCATGTATTGGTCATTTCTCTCAGATAAATCGTCTTTCTTTGTTTTAAACTCGTTACACTTGCGTGTTACTTATATTTTTTGTTATATAACTTTATGATTTTTTTAATTACAGAATTGATGAGATGCACCAGTTGCGTGAGAAACTGACCCACTTCCCCAGTCGGTTCAGAGTGGACCAACTGGAGGAGAGTCTAAACCACCAGAGGGACGACCTTGACCTAGCTCTGGCTGAGTGCCAGAGGATAGGGGAGGGGTTTGTGGGGTTGCAACAGAACACTGACACCAGGCTGAGTGACGAAACCACTGTGGTATGTAAAGAAGAGTAGCCAGCGTAGCTTGGGGGGGGGGGGCATTCTGATTCAGTTTGAGGTTCTCAAAAAACAGTCACTGGAAATTTTTAAGTTGCATTTTTTGATTTCAACAAGCAAATGAACGGAGTATTTTTTCACCTTTGTTGCATTTTTCTGTAACTATTGATGAAATAAGATTGAAACTTTCAAATATGCTGGATGAACTGTTTGGAACAAACTAACCGGATCAGAAGCTTGGCAGGATTTTGAAGGAGCTAATAATTTAGATAAATCGTGTTTTTTGAAGGCGTAAAAAAGCCAGTAAATCATAACATGTTTCGGGGGTGTTTTTCCTCTGAAAACATTCTCAAAAACCATGCAAGTGTTTTTGTTTTATCATCTCAAACTGGTTCTCTGGGAAGCTGATGTGCTTCACTTAGTTTCTATGCCGTAGAAAAACAGCAGAAAAAAAAGAACTGAAAGAGTTATTGTCCAAAAATTAATGATAAATCGTTTGATCTAGCTAGCATGTGTCACAATTTCAATCCTAATTTTTGAACACAACTGCCTATGAGAATCCTGTGCACGGATAAGAGCAGTAACTTTTCCGAAACAGCAAATGGAAGAGTTCTTTTAATCTCCTATTTCAATCTTCAGCGCAATTTTACTCCTAAAACTTTAACCTCTTGTTGACACCGGACAAAGAAACTCTTTCAGTTCTTTTGTCTGCTGTTTTTCCACGGCATATAGACTAAATGAAGACCATCAGCTTCCCAAATAACCAATTTGAACCAAAAAATTCAAATTCTTTGTGTTGTTTTTGAGGTTGCTTCCAGAGCAAAACACCTCTGAAACTAATTATGATTTACTGGCTTTTTTACGCTTTCAAAACACGATTTCTCAACATTTGATCCTTTCCAAATCGTTTAATTTATCGCATGTGTCAAAATTTCAATCCTATTTTTTCAACCGATGCAGAAAAAAGACAAAATCTTGAAAAAAAAACAATTCATTTGCTCGTTGAAAGCAAAAAATGCAACTTCTATCATAGAAAATGCATTTTTTTGGCGTTCAACGAGCAAATGAATTGATTTTTTTTCTGATTTTTGATGATATCCAGTGACTGTAGTTCAAAGATACTTTCAATTTCAAAGGAACTAAACGTTGACATTTGGAAAAGGCTCATTATTAACGCACGTGATAGCAAATTATATACTTAAAATTATTCTTCTGCTTCAACTTTTTCAGGTGTTCAAAAAAGTCATTTTTCTATTTAAAAAAACAGGTTTCCGAAATAATTTTTGCGGAGAATGACGGTTCAAGAATTATTATAAGCTTTATCTATTTCAAATCATGGCAAGTTATTGAGCAAAATTTCATTTCTTTAAAAAGCTAGATTTCGAGGTTTTTGTTTTTTCAAAAATCTTAAAAATATATATATAACCTAAGAATTTTATCAAAATTTGAGCATCAAATTGTTTTTAGCGAACGCAACAGCTAACAGAGCTACGCGAGAAACTTAAACGACTCCAGAAACTAGTCGACACTTACCACCCCCCGGCTAACGGCGCCGAACAACAATTGGCAAAACCGAACAACAATCCCCACCTGCCGAGCCAAAATGACCCGAACACACCCGATGCTCCTAAAATCATGAGTCCACAGTCAAGTAACCCAGATCCCGAGAGATGGCAGGACGCAAATGCTAATTGATCGTAGTTGCAGTTACTAACCTGCTACTTAATTCGATTATTTTATCGGTTTTTCTGGTGGGGGAGGGGGTCAAGGCACAGGCGGAGATTCAAAACTTTTTTAGATCGACCGGATGGATTTTTTAAACTTTTCCCAAACACAAAGCGAAACCTATTTTGCCAAAACTTCAGGCGCGGCAGTCAATTTTTTTGCAAAACGAGGCAAAATTGGACATTCGACCAAAAAAGACAAATGTCCAAAAATCAAAAATTTTTGACACGTGCATTTAGAAATAATTTAGTATCAGATTAAATTGATGTCGCAAAACAGATCCTGCTCGGAATTTTCGGGTGTGCTTTTAAGGCTCATTTGTAAAAAATTCAGCTTGAGATCTATTGAGAGACTGTGAAAATGTATGGTGTGTATTCATTTGTTGAGTGTGAAAATTCGAAGATAGTTTTATCTGGCTGCCCTGTTTGTAAAATCAAATTGACCTCAATGTAAAATGTAATTGAATTATATTTTATTTGAATTATTTCAGAGTAAAATTTTTTACAGCATTTAGATTGTTTGGTAAACACTTTCAAGTGAAAACCAAACACTCAAAGAAGTCAATGCCCTACCCAAAAACTGAAGGATCGCATAATAAGCGATGTCATTACGTAGATAGTCATTAAAATATTGTCTTCGTCACAAAAGGTTTTAAAAGGACTAGGGTAGGATTTTGATATAAACGTCAGCAACTGGGAATCTGACAAACAAGTAGCACCGAAAGTTCCGACCAAATTAACTACAAAAACCCTTTAAAAAATTCGAAATTTGTGTTATTTTTTATTGCGTGGTGTGGTGAGAGAAACAAACCGAAAGCTTATTTCATTGGTCACTTTTCATTTTCGAAAACAGTTTTCTTTGACAAATGAAAATAGAAACTAAATACGTCTATTCGTACAAAAAATGGACCAATAACTAACTTGTACTTGATTTTTCTAAAAGTTTTCAGATGACGCAAATTTTGTGGAAAAACATTGAGTAGGCATCTTTATAGGTATAAGAAGCTTTTGATAAAAAGTAGATGATGTCTCGTCAGATGAAAACCAAGCTTTTGCACCCGCACTGAAATTCCAAGGCCATTCATCATTTTTAATGAACTTTTGGGCAAAAACCTTAGGAAAAATTATCTATAGATCTAATTTCATTTCCCATTTAACAATAAGATTGAATTTTTAGAAATTAAATCAGAAATTTTTATTTTCAATAAAATCGATTGATTTTTGTAGATGTGAACTGTTTACTCTACTTACTGCATCTTTCTGCAATATTTAAACCCAAACAAACATGTTGATCACAGTTTATTTCCCTTCAGGATTTGGCATCCACCCATCGGCTACCTTCTTATCAAAAAATTCAAATACGTTCAGTCGATCCCACTCCTCTACTTACGCCGTACGCCCAGTTTACCACCACCCTAACGAATCTTCTGAATAATCCGCCTATTTTAATTCCACCAAGTTCCCTGACCCCTACTTCCTCCCATACCCCAACAATCTCGCATACCCCCCACCGCCTCCCACACCTCACCAACGCTCCTACCATCACCGCCTTACCTACCCGCACCAAATCTTCCACCCACTATTCATTTTCGAAAACAGTTTTTGAAAAACGAACAAAATACACATGTATATATTTTATTTGCATGAAATTTTTTTGAAAATTGTGCAATTTGTCGTAATTTTTTTGAATTGAAAAAAAAAGCTTTTAACTTTTCAATGCCAAAGATGAGTCAGACAAATCTTGATTAAAACTCGTAAGCTTGATTGATCTTGGCTTTTGATACACTGAAAATTGATTTTGTTTTCAACTTTTCCTTGCTCTTCACAAAAACATAAAACCAACCTAAACAGGAGCGTAATTCAAATGGGGTTGATTTTCTTGGCTCAATCAGACACGTTGAAAACTAGGATAGCCGGTTACTGCGCATGTAGCACAGAATGTACCGACCATAGTCTTATAAAAAAACAGGCAGAGTAATTTTTAGAACAATTTTGTAATAAAACGAACAGAAAAAAGAGTTTTCTAATAAAATTCTAAACTTTTTAAATTTTTTTTTGCAGAAAATCATTTACATTTGCAAAAAAACTCAAACTGAAATTTGCTCTAGTAAAATTAAGTTTTCTTGGCATAAATTTAGCATAAATAGGCTACTTTGAGCCTGCTCGCTCACATTAATTGCTTGAAAACAGAATAAAAATCAAAAGCTTCAAACGGGTTTTTCTCCACCTGTTTTATCAAGTTTATCAATGTCGTATGAATCCCGACTGAAAAATTTTAAAGGATATATCACGACCTATTCCGATGATTATTTTAGATAACTGATTTTTTATAAGAAAAATACATATGAACACGAAGTCCCTTCCCATTTTCAATGGTCGGAACAAAAAACTTGAGGTGGTTGTCATAACCCTTGTAATTTCGAAATCTGAATTCCAACAAAACGAGATACATCAAAAAAGTTTTGGATTGTAGTCATATACATCCCTAACTAAAGTGATTGAAGCTAAAAACTGTTCCTTGGATCAATCACGGACATCGCTCCCTCGACGCTGACCTAAATCTATATTTTTTTGGGCAAAATTGACTAATAATTTGTACTCAATTTTTCTAAAAGTTTTAAGTTGACAAATTTTTTCAAAAACTTCAAGCTTAATTTTGAAAAATTTTGAAGTAGGTCATAAAAAGCTTTTGATAAAAGTAACTGAGAGTTCTGCAGGGTACAACCAAGGTTGTGCATTGGCATTGAAGTTTCATGGACATTAATTACTTTCAATGGATTATATTGGCAAAAACCTAAAATTAAACTATGAATATAATTAATTTTATTACCCATTTAACCATGAGAATGGATTTTCAGAAGACTTAATTCGATTTTTTTTGTTTTCAAGATAAACGATTGCTTTTTGTAGGTGTGCATTATTTATTCTTCTTATTGCAGCGTTCTGCAAAACTAAAATGCAAACGAACACGTTCATCCCTGCCACAACTCCTTTCACATCCCCTCCAACGCGCACGGCTACTCAAAACATTCAAATACGTTCAGTGGATCCCATTTTACTCTTACGCCGTACTCCCAGTTTACCACTACCCCCCTCCCTAATTAATCCGCCTGATTGCTCACCCCATTTTAGCCCCACCACCTTCGATACACCGCCACCGCTCCTACCCCTACCACCTTCCCTGTCGGCAATATTTCCCTTACCTTCAACATCTCCCCTATACCCCAAAAAACCTGGTTTTGACGGAAAGATTTGAATAACGGTTTGAGTAGTGACCTTCATATCTTCCGAAAAGAAAACTCATCGAATGCGAAGTAACCTGAAGTTGGGTTCCTCTATGCTCGTGATGGTTGTCTTCTACTGTTGTTTCTTGGTTTGTTTTTTTTTAATTTGGGCCCGTCGTTCGGAGTAGATTTGATTTCACTTTGGGTTTTGATTCTTGCCTGTGACTTTCATTTTATTGGCGGTGAGAATGAGGAACACTGAATGAAGGTAGTTGTAGCAGTTTCCGTTTTTGTCCTTTCAATTGGTTGGGGGTTTCTTTTTCCAAGTTGTCATCCAACGAAAAAATTCATTTTCAAGTGAGATGAGTTTAACTTTTTGGCGTTAAGGTAAATGAAGTAAGGAGTACCATTAGCTGAATCATCATTCTTACGGAAGACGTTATCTTAATAAAAAGTTTCTCAGGGGTAATCCTGCTGTTTGAGTTCTTTACCACTTTTGTCTTATCCCCTGAGTCGTATCCTTTGTCTGTCGGATTGCGGTTTTTCAGTGGTAAGTGCTTGTTAGTGTAACCATCCTCAATCCGGTTGTTTTTCCCAGTATAACATTATAATTTCGGACATGATTGATTTCCCCTTGTCTAATCTGTCAATTAAGCTATATGAATCTATCGATTTTCAAATAGTGTTCGGTTTTCTTCCAACATTTCAAAGTGAAAACCTTAGTTTGAAGATTGATTATTGAGCGTAAGTGGTAAATGATCGGGAAACGTCATCATTGAAGGAAAGTATTGGAGAGCTGCATAACTCTGTAAAAAATTAGTTTTTACGGTTCTTACAACTTTTCCTACCAATCTGTTGAACCTATGATCATCGACTGTACAAAATATTAGTTTTATGATATAAGAATTACAAAATTTTGACTGGTAAAACAAGAAACATGGTCCATTCTAATTAACTCTAATATTCCATGAAATAAAATGTGGATGTAAAAAAAGTCGACAACTGTCTTAGAAGGCGCCTTCGAAGCACCTTTTGCAATAAAAAAAATTGCAAAACGATGAATACAAAAAAGACATAATTTTTATTGCCCCAAGATAGTTCTACAAGGCTCGTAAAATCTGCATCAGTTCTTTCAATTGGTTTTGTAAGTCCTGCTAACTTTCCAACGGAAATCTGTGCTAGAAAGATTTTGATGTTCTTACTCGTTTTCGTTCATTGAGAGCAATTTTTTCCATGAGGGTGTGTCTTTCATGATTATGAAGCCACCAGATGTATTTCGGAAGAAATTTCATGTCAAATTGGCCTGTTTATGTCTCATGAAGAATCTGCATCTTGGAGTTTTTCAAAGCGAAGGGAATGACCAGTTTTTGAAAAATGGACTTTTGGATTCGTGAAGATTTTCTATAAAATTATGGCCCGTGTTTGAGTTTTTCAGACCCATTCTCCCTCGGAGTGCCGTAACCCTTGAAAAAAAACTGGCCTTCTTCTGTTAATTGAGACAATACTTTCCTGTTAAATGTAGAAGTTTAATCCCAAATTTACAGGAAGTTTCTCGATATTTTGTTACCAAAGCTATTTTTTTTTGGGCTTAGATCTTTTTTAACAGAATTAAAAATACTGACGGTTGATGAAATTAAATGCTTTTTGCTATTGGACTGGTTCGTAGTTTTTATAAAATTAAAATCTGAGAAACAATTGATCAAAATTCCTTTTACAGACATCACATGGAAAAAAAAACGGAAACGGAACTGAAATTTTTGGCAAATCATTGTCGGAAAAACCCAATCAAATACAATTTCCGAGCAGTTTTCTGATCATTTGTGAAAATATTTAAATTCGGAGCAGTAGTTTCAATAAGTAATAGTGCGAATATGTTCTTTGTTACTTATTTTTTAATTATTTAGGATGGATGCCACTAGAGTTTTTTGCATAATTTGAAGTGGGGATTATTTTATCCAAAGGATATCTAAAATTTGAATTAATAAAACTCTTAACTTTACCGGCAAAACAGTTTGACTGAAAATTTAAAATGTGAAAGTCTGTCTATCGATCATGTTAGTAGATTGTGATAGGTTTGTTTGTATGGTCTAAAAGCAGGGCCAATTTTAAAGCTTTCATTTCGGCAGTAATCTCAAACTCTTAACCGAATAAGGGATTTTTATAGTGTGCAACTGCCCAGACTACTCTCAATAACTATACTTCAAGAGTGAAAAATTTTGAGTCGCCAGGGCTTAAAAATTTTAAGGCAAAAAATATTGTTT